CAGTGCAGAGCTGCATCCTCTGGGGATCTGCCGCTAAGCGCAGGAAGGGGAGAGTGGGCAAAAGGTCTCCTTGGGGCTGGAGGAGGACCCCTGGTGACCTTCTGCTCCCTTCCAGGCCACCCTCACAGTCACACCAGGTTGCTCAGGGTATTGTCCTGCCTTGTTTTGAGCATCTCCAAGGGATGTCACAGCTCCTGCCTGGCCCCCTACATGAGGACACAGGGACTGGCTGCGTGGGCAAAGACAGAGCAGTGCATGTGTTACCCCCTCTCCTACCCTCCTCCTTTTGGCTTGGGGTGCCAGGGCTGGGCAAAAAGATGCAACAGATGAAAAATTGTCTGTCCAAGGCTTGAAGGGTGAGGACCCCGGAGCCCCAGGGTCATCCTGCCACTGATGGGTGAGGTTACAGGATGGGGACATCTCTCCTTTTTTTTTTTTCTTTTTTTTTTTTTTTTAAACAGGTATTTTATTGGCTCTGGGACAGCTGGAGGCTGAAAATTATTTAGTCCCTTTTCCTGTTTATATTTGGCTTAATAAAAAATAAATGTCACTGACTTGCTACCCCCTGCCGTGGTGTGCTGTGTTCTCTGAGCTGTCTCTCCCTCTTCAGACCCTCTGCCTCGTCTCTCGGAAGCGGTTTGTTCTTCGCCTGCGCTCGTGGGAGGCTGACGTGTCGCTGCCAGTGCCGGAGCACAGTCTGGCAGCGAGAGAGACAGTGCCAGAAACACCCACCTCTGCAGGCCCCGGGGTCACAGCCAGCGCCTCCGGCCCTGAGGAGGGCTGCCTTTCTTTTGGGGGGGATCCTGTGTTTCTCCCACCCCCCTCTCTGTCCCCCCCTTTTTCTCTTCCCAGCCTCCCGGGTCCCTGGGCAGAGCCAGGGAGGGGGGAATCCAAAGGGCTCCTGTGGGAGATGGGGTTCCTGGCGCTGCTGGGCATCCCGGAGGGACACCCAAGCCAGGTGGGGTGGGGGACACGGAGGCCTCTCCCTGCCCTTGTCCCGTGGACATGCATGGCACTGCAGTGCCCAGAGCCACGAGTGGCTTCAAGTGCCACCAGCACGGCGGGGGGGAGGTGGGGGAGCTGCCCCCCACTCCAAAGGGGGCGGTGTCCCATCTGCGCCAGCCCTCTGGTGAGGCTGTTAACTCTGGAACCTAAGGACGGCGCGGCGGCGGCGGGGAGCTCAGGGACCCGGGGG